CTTCTCTCCATGATTAGTTTCCATTTATTGCTTCTTGTCCTGCCCTCAGGTCCTTTGGAGAATAGCTTGACTCCCTCTTCTTTGTGGCAACCCCTGAGATATTGGAAGACTGCTATCATGTCTCCCCTGGTCCTTCTTTTCATTAGACATCCCCAGTTCCTGCAACCGTTCTTCATATGATTTAGCCTCCAGTCCCCTAATCCTCTTTGTTGCCCTTCTCTGCACTTCTAGAATCTCAACATCTTTTTCATATGGTAGCAACCAAAACCGGGTGCACTATTCCAAGTTTGGCCTTCTTTAAAGGATTATAAATAGCTACCAACATTTCACATGATCTTGAGTCTATTCTGCTGTTAATGCAGCCTCTGCTTCTCCTCTTTCCCTAAGATTGTGATGGCGAACCTATGGTACATGTGCCAAGACTGGTCCTCGTGGTCGCCAGAGCGCTAAAAAAGGGCCAAAAACCGGTCAAAAATGGGCTGTTTTTTTATGCCGCTTTCCAGGCGGTTTCCAGGCTGTTTTTCAGGTCGTTTTTGACACAAAACTGCTCCAAAAATGGCCTGAAACAGAAAAGCTTCCTGAAAATGGTCCCAAAAAACAGCCTGAAAATGGCCAAAAATGAACCCAAACTTGAACGCACATGCATGTGTATGCATGCATGCGCCAGCCAGTTGGTCTTTGCGTTTCCGGCACTCTGACAGGCGCACACATGCATACACATGCATGTGCGTTCAAGTTTGGCTGCCGAAAAGGTTCCCCATCACTACCCTAGGACTATTCTTTTCTTCAAGCTCTCCGTTTCCACATTTCAACTCGCTTCCAGGTCTCTTCTGCCCACCGACCCGTTCTTCCTTTCTCTCCTCTCTTTTCCCAGTGGGGACTTAAACTGTTCTTTTTCCATTCAGACTTTAGCCAACCTACTAGGGCCTGATTCGGATATGTTGCATTTAATGTCTACCTAGCCAAGAATTCTAGAATACGGGTAGCCCTCGACTTACAACAGGGGTGACATTCAATTTATTTCTCTACTGGTTATGTGAGTGTGGCTGGGGTGTGTGGGTGTGTCCTGTGACTGAGTTGGTGTGGCCAACTCGATGACACTCACGGCCATGCCCACTGAGTCACAGCCTTGGGGGGGGGGGGGTGTCACACATTTTTTCCTGCAGGGTTCTGTGTATGAGAACGAGAAGGGCCCAGAGTGAATGTTGTGGCAGAGAGAAGCCGAATGTTTCTCCCTCCATTCACGGGAGAGCTGCTGCTCCCTTTATGGTCCTCCCCCCCGGGGTCCCCTCCCTCCTGGGGACTACCTTAAAGGGACAGGCTGGAGCAGCTCCGCTGTGAATGGAGGGAGAAACGTTCGGATTGGGTGGGTGGGTCAAGCGGCCGGAAGGGCTGAGTCAGCACACGGAAGAGGTGAGCAGCGACTGGGCGACCGAGCGGGCGAACGTGGGCGGGGCCAACCAGGGGTAATTTCTAGCGGTTCAGGTGAACCGATTCAAACCGTACCAACCGGTTCGCCAGAGCCAGTCTGATCCGGCCAAATTTCACCCCTGCTTACGACCATTTTTCAGAGTTATAACCGCTGCAGTATCCCCCCCCCAATGGTCACGTGATCAAAATTTGGATGCTTGGCAACTGATTTGTCTTTATGATGGTTTCAGTCTCCCAAGGTCACGTGATCACCTTTTGCAACCTTCCGAGAAGCGAAATCAATGGGGAAGCCAGATTCGCTTAACAACCGTGTTGCTTATTTAACAACTGGAGTGATTCACTTAACAACTGTGGCAAAGCTGGTCGTAAAATGGGGCAAAATTAAGAGGTTTTACTTAGCAACAAATATTTTGGGCTCCATTGTGGTCAAGGACTACCCCTACAGCCATTATTTCCCCCACTATTTCTTCCATGGATTGTCCCCAGGCTTCCACACAGAGATATAGTGGGGAGGGAATGACACAATAGTTGTACGGTGTCATTGGGCTGCCTTCGCTTGAGGTCATCCATCCAGAAGCTTTCAGCAAAGCCACTTAATGGGGCCGTCTCCAAAGCCCCCAGCGTTATTTGCAGAGGTGGGTTCCTACCTGTTCGGACCGTTTCAGCCCAACCGGTAGTGGTTTGCTGGCCTAGGTCGCTGGAACCTGCAGCGACCCCAGCCTGCCACGGTTCCACCACAAAACCGCGCTCGACTAAACCGCGTCGCTGACGTCATCAACAGGGTGACAACAG